GGACTTGAGAAGAGAGAAGCGCAGATTTCAGACAAGAACCCATGACTGAGAACCAGAATGGGAGGAGGGCTTTGGCAGTGAGATGCCTGGAGCTCAGCTGGAGGAGACGAGGAACCTGCGGCCTGAAGTCGGTAGGAGGAAGGACTGCACCAGAGGACTGCAGGGAAAGGGGGCAATGATTGTCCTCACTTTTTATTTATTGTCCATCCTCAATCTCCCTGTTATTCTCACAATAGATTCTGTTCTCATATATAAGAGTGAAGACAAGGAAAGATCCGTGGTTTGGGGGAAGATGAAGTTTCACAGGCAGCCCTCTTGCTGCTTGACATTGCTGTCGGGACCTCTCACTGAGTGAGGGATTATGGGAACAGGAGCAGGCTGGCTGGGAGGGTTGGAGTATCTTTCATTATACTTTTAAATAGTGGTGGAAAGTTGGCAAGTTAAGAACTGACTACAAAAAGCCGCACAAGATGGATTTGACAGCCTTTTCTATGAAAACCAGATGCATATTGGATTGCCTGAGTCTCAGTAATGACTGTGTCAGGAGGGCAAATCTTCAAGTACCTTAAACCACCACTCAGGATTTTGCGTTTCTGTTAACAGAGTTGATGGCCTACTAGAAACACCTCCATCAGTGAGGGTTTTGCTTGACACATCAACTAAATTTCAGTATTATTTGTTCACACTTAATTTCTGTAGCTTTGTTAAATTTGCCCATTTTAGTCGATGGCCAGAGTGCTGAGTAGCTTCTTGTTTTATAGGCTAAGAATTTAACCATTTCACGCTACCTTGCAGAGTGCTGTGAAAAAGTTGACATTGAATAAATTCTGTGGAAAATATGAATCACTCTTTTAATGTTTGATAGTCACCTGAGGATGATTTTAACTTAGTTTTTACTTTTTTTTAAAAAGAAAAAGCAATACATTTATTATATTATCATTTCTCTTCCCTTTCCATAGAGAGACACCCAATTACAAACGCTATTGATGGAAAGAACACTTGGTGGCAGAGCCCCAGTATTAAGAATGGAATTGAATACCATTATGTGACCATTACACTGGATTTGCAACAGGTACAGTGCCTCCTCCTTCCTTTTTTATTCCCTTTACATCCCTGTGGCTATTTTGTAACTAACAATTTGTGCTTCTTAATCCTGTTGCCTTTTTTTAAAAACCAGATATAGTGCCTTTTTTTTTTAAGTCATTTTCCACTTTGAAATTGTATCCTGGATTTGCTTTCTATGTTGCTAGTAGTTCTTTGGTGGGAAGATGCTCTTTCTTAGCACCCTCCATCATTTCCTTGATACAATAAACAAAGCAGCCTATTCATTTAGCATGTCATTGTTTTAAAATTTTTGATATTTATTTCTAAAGCATAGCTAAAATCAATTCACCGAAAGAGTTTAGCACTGAATAAAGAGCTAATTCTGTTTTTGACTAATGAGAGTTAATGATGAAAATATAGATCAACAAAATTTTACATAAAGAACATATACTACTGCCATTTTTAATTTTTATAATAATTACTCTACTCATGGTGGTGTGCTAAAAGGTACTTGGATAACAAGGCTCTGGAGCAAATTGCTGCCTCCACCCCACCCCTCGTCATTATTGAGAGCAAGCAAGCCATGGCAGTTGGCTATTAAATTTGTATCACTAAATGAGGTAACAAGCCTTGTAGTTGTATAAAATTGACGTTGGAAGTTGTTTGAGTTTGTGTTGCGTTGACCTAGGTGCCTTCCACACTTAATTTCTTTCTTCTTTCTGTTCACAATATTCAGGTCAGGCTGATGTAATTAATTAAGAATCACCATCACCCCAACCTATTTAGGCTTGCAGATAGTATGGCATCTCAAAAAATATTCCTATATTTTTCTCTTTTTCCAAGTACAAAAGCCAACTCAATTGACTGAGGCCAGAGACTAGAGGCAGTGAACTGTTTAACTCGGCCTGTTTCTCTCTCACTTCCTGGAATCCTGTAGGAAAGACTCTTAGCCACTCTTCTCTAGCCCAGTGGACACAGAGCAGTAGCAGAGCTTGGGATTAGTGAAGGGGAAATGGCCAAGACAGTCAGTAACAGAAACTAAATACAGGTTTTGTTTCCACAGGTGGCCATAGTGGAAGGAAGCACCAATCAATGGGGGTTAGTCACATTCTCAGGGGGCCATATAGACACCAGGCATTTCCACAATGGGAGTATGACTTACCCTCTTCAGGATTTGGGCCCATTTTGGCCAGGGTGCACACATTAGGAACTCTAAAGAGCTAACTGGTGGGTCTCAGCAGAACCTCTTTCCATCCATCTGGGACTCTTCAGGACCTGAACAGCTGGATAGCAGCAGGGGTTCATTGCTATAGCTAAATCACCAGCTGCCCTGGATTTATTTCCACCCATACTGGCAGCTGCATGTCAACTCTGAGTTAAAGGGATTTCTCAAGAAGTCTCAGAGCCCCATTCAGGTATGGCAGATCAAACTACCACACGGATCCATCATGCTTTAGGCCACTGAAGTCTTGTGTATGAATTGCCTGCAAGTTCTAGCCTCAAAATGCATTTCATTCCACTCCTGATACAGACAACATGGTCTTTTATCGGTCACAGAAGTTCTCCCACTTCATGTGCTCACTGAAGGTCTGCCTCTCAATCAGGAGTGAGTCTGCTGTCTATTGCCTAAGGTCACATCCTGGGAGAGGGAATCAACAAGTAGGGATGGTTAATTGCTCTGGTTTACTCTCCACCTATTTTGTTAGATTGCACATGGATCAAGAGAGTCAATTATTAATATAATTTGCATAAATCACTTACATTACTCTTTGAGCTCAACCACAATGGTGTATGGTGCATTGTATGGTACAATCACAAGTTTTTACTGAATCATTTCTATCGAACATACCTGCCTTTTTCATTCAGCCTGAATTGTCTGAATTCAGACCCCCAAACTATACCAGAATTTCCTAAACTAGGATGTGAAGACCTAACCTGGGGAGCTCATGAGAATTTTTGGTATATAAACAAAGCGTCAATACATGGTTTGGGTTCAAGAAATGCTACACTATGATCTCCTGGTTTCAGTGTAAGAAGATAGCCAACATTTGCTTCATAGTATATAAGAGGCTAGATTTTTCATTTTCTAGCACAGGTTAGTATGCCTTTCAAATGGCATAACTTGTCCTTTCTACCTACATATAGCATGAAGGATTAATAGGTTATTTGACACGATATGAACTGTTATCCAGTGGGAGTCAAGGGCAGCAGATAGCAGTAAATAGGTAAATATCACTAAATGTTTGTCAGTGGTTCAGCAAGAGGTTTGGCCATTCATTAGTCCTCCTATATATTTTGAGATGTCTGAATTTTAACAAGGGCCAGTTTATCTTCTGTTATTGATGTGTACTTGACTCCTCTGTGAAATACTTTTAGTAAATTACTATTTTAAATATAAACACCCACCTTTGGGTTTCCTTGATTAAATCATTACAGATCACACTGGGACATTTCTTTTACATTTTAACATTCAACATAGGTACTGGAAAAATATAACAATTTATAGTGAGGAAAGCTGCTGCTTATTTTATAAATTGATTGTTTTTAGATTTTTATTACTAAGGGATAATTAACTTTCCCTAATTCTATCATTTGCTCACAGCATATTGTAAGGAAATGATTCAATCATGCTGGGCCCCAGCTACTAGACTAGCAAAAATAAATATTATGAAATCATGGCAGGAAATTTCAAATAATGAAAACAGCAATATAAAAACTAAACCCCATCTGGCAATTATAGCTATTGTAATATCCTAGTAAAAGCATAAACTCTTAGAGAAGTTTAGCTGTTCTAGTGATGAGTATGCAAAAACCCGGTGTGAGGACAGAGAAAAATGTGCATCTATTTAAAAGACAATAATAGGGGCCTGCAGGTTAATAGGATGCCCAAAATATTTCATTTTAGTCTCTTTTCAACCACATTTTTGCCACAATATGTGTTATAATATCTGATCTCATTTTAAGACTTTTTAAATCTGGCCCTTTTCTCAGGTGGGTCCTTGGATTTGTTCAGGAAGGAAGTTGAGCGAGCAGGATGAAACACAGGGGCAGCTTCTCCGTAGACTTCATTAGTATATTTTGAGGCCAAATTCACTGCTGGATAATCCAGAAAGGTCATGGAATTAGATGTGTTCATAGGTAGGAACCCTCTTTACCTCAATAAACAGTTGCTTCTCTTCCCGGTTAACGCTCCAGAACTAAAAATGCAGCGATCAAGAAAGATTGTCTTGCAGCTTCAGAGATCAGTTTCCACATGTTCTTGGTATAAATATTTTATTTACTGACCTCAAAGAGACATATTTAGTGAGATAGGTTAATGATTTTAAATGAGAATTCTGTTTTGGAACAAGGTTGAATTAACGTTTTTATGCAGCTATTACGATACTTTTAGAATCTATGTTAATAGCATAGAGGCATTTTTTCCTTAAGCCTTGAACCTTTAATGTAATGATTGAACCCTTCTATAAAAAAACAAAAACAAAAACAAAAACAAATCATGAAATTCACTTAGGTATTTCAATGTATTCAACTTTTTCATATATTCAAAATTTATTTTGTTTAATAAGGGTAATCAAATTTTCAACCTTGAAAAGAAATCATTTTCTCACATGTATGCTTTCCTCAGACTCTTTTTCATCCCTATTAATAGGCTCTGTTGCTCTTTAGCTCAGAGAGCATTATTAGCTTCACCTATTAAATAATGAAAAAGTGAGATAGATACAATTCATAATTAATCATTCAACAGGTAGAAAGGAGCATAAACAATATCTCTACATTTAAGATCTCATTATCTAAATAAGAGAAGCCATAGACATGAATGTATTAAAAAGCCATATAAGATTTAAATAGTCCAAGTTAAATATGCTTTTATTCAACAGATGTAAAGGTTTCCTTCTGAGGAGAGATCTCTATAAGGCATTAACCCATGGCATGGTGATTGGATGTTTATTTTCCTGTAGTCCCACTAGATTGTGAGTTCTTGAAGGCAGAGGTCTGATGGTTTATATCCATCATGATCCTCAGCATTTAACAGGAGCTCAGCAGATATGATGAAAGAATGGTCCATGCTGTGCTTCAAATCACTGAATTTTTTCTTGTTGCTATTTGGATCACTGCTAAATTGATGAATATAAACTAACTATAGAAAACATTATAATCTACATGTTCAAAATGTCCTATATGGATACATCTTGTTTATTACAGCAGAATATAATTAAAAGGACAGTTCTTTACCTGCTTTAGTTTTGTTTCATTTTTTTGTTTTTTTAAGATCATTGATTTAATGTCACAAGTAGGATCTGTGGTTAATTAGAAAATGTATTCTCTTTCTAAATGAATTTGTGCTGACCTTTTAATCATTAATAAAGGTGGCAACCAGCTTCAGAGTCTATATTATATAGTACATTAGTTCTAATTATCTCCCCTTCAGTCTAGTTTCAGTACTGTAGTCACATTGACCTGATTAGTACAAAATCATATCATATCACTCCTTTTACCAAAAATCTAATGGCTTCCATTGCACTCAGTGTGAAAAGCACAATGCTCCACAAGGATTTACAGGATCTTGAACTTACCCTGTCTTTCACCTCTGGCTTTATCTTCTCTCTTCAGTTGCCCCACTGTCTACTTCAATGGGTCATGAAGACCTTTGTATTTACTATTCCTGCCTCAGGGCCTTGGCACTTGCTGTTTTGTCTGTCTGGAATTATTTCATCCCATTTCTATATAGCATTTTCCTTACATCCTTTCAGTTTTTATCCAAGTGTCACTTTCTTAGCAAGGACCTCCCTAACCTAATTTAAAATTGTAAACCCCTTTTCAGTTCCTCTCCCATTTCCCTGCTTTATTTTTCTCCATAAAATATATCACTAACTTCCTATGTACATTTTACTATTTATGTTAAATGTTGTTTACCTTGCCTTCCTAAATGCAATTTTCATGAAAGTGGAAATATTTGTCTGTGTTGTTGTTTTTTAATTGCCACATCCTGAGCACTCAGAATAGTGCCCAGTATATGAGTCACTTGAT